TGAAAGCGAAAGGGACAGAAGAAAGTTACAAGTAACTTAACAAGTTTGTGTAAATAGGAGAGGAAATGATAGTAAAATACAAGCATTCCTTCGAAGGCTAGGTAGTTGTGGAGAGTCATTATCACTGAAGGGGCACGGCATATTGAAGAAGAAGATCATTGGTGAGATCTAACGTAAGCATACGGTTCTACGAACCTGTAGACAATATGGTAGAAGCAAGTATAGACTTTGACCATACCTTCACGGTTCAGTAACTGTGCTTGTCTTCTTGCTTTGTAATATATTCGTCCACTGAACACACCACATATACAGCCACGTGAGCCACAAGGCTTATAATCATGGGGAAGTTTCACGATTTCAACTGACATAGAAGTGGGACGATTATAGTGAAGTCTTCTACTAGGAACTTTGGTCCATTGTCATTTGCTAGACAATTATTCTCTCTAGAATGTATCTTGCACATTCGCATACATGGTGTTGTATTTCTGTCATACATTGAGAGATTCTTAACAAAATCCAAAGAAAAATCGTAAACCTTATCAGTCCTGATCTGGCAGCCCGGCTTCAGCCACTTTGCTACTGCCATCACCTAGCATCCCTACGCCTTTTCTATAAATATTTTTGTGGCTTTTCCCTCTTTGGTACTTCGACTTTACGAATTTGAGCGCAATACACGATTGTCAGTTAGGTCTCATAATTTCACTGTTGAAGTTGGTAGTTTTTAACTGTAAGTTCTATGCTAATAGTTTCTCCTATCGCACTTCTCGCTTGTGGAACTCTCTTCCGGCCTCTAGATTTCCAGTCAACTTTGATCTACAAAAATTTAAATGCACACTGTTCTTTTATCCCTTTCTCTTTTTTTTGTATCACTTCCAGTAAGCCCGTGTATTTTAGTGGCTTTTATCGTCTGACTTGAAGTAAAATTATTACCCCCCCCCCAAAAAAAAAACAAGATTATAGTAAATGTTTTCTAAGCGGCTCGACATGTTGAGTTCCGCTGTCTTAACCATCATTCATAAATGAAAAACAATACTGAATCAACGCTTGCATGATCGGGTCTCACCTAAAGAAGCTTTCGACTCAAGGACGATTAAAACAACGGAGAAAGTTTTAGTTAACTGGAAATCCAGTGTAAATGATATCAAGTCACATCTGCAGGAATAGATGCAAACGTCTCAACAATTTGTGTGAACATTGAACCGATAAGGATCTCACAAATTACACACGTAGGAAAAGTATGATTGAAAAAGGCACATAAAACGATTCGTTAGCTAAAAGTATTTTGTGATATAGTTACTGGATCAGACGAAGCCAAAATTGTAATTTTAAGATATAACCAACTGTACTAGGTTTGGATTAAAAAGAACAGCGCACAGCGTAAAAAAAACTCACTCCAACTGTTTATGTTTTGTGAAACTCTCTTCCAGTCTCTTGCTTTATTAATAGTATTGAAGATAAACATAAAAACAGGGTAGCGTCTTCCGATGGTGGATGTGACTGAAGCCGAGATGCTAGACCAGGACCGATAATATTACACATTCAATTTGAAAAAATATATGAACATCATTCTGGTGTATACATAAATTCCTTTACTGAAAAACTATGAAGAGAGTTCCATAAACAAGACGTGCGATAGAAGAAACTCTTAGCATAGAACTTTCGGTTACAGCTAGACATTTTAACTGTAAAATGGTGAGAGCTTGCCGCCAATCTAGAAGTACGCTTGATTTCATAAAGTCTAGGTACCGTAGAGGAAAGCTCTTCAGAACACTTAGCATGAATATATATATATATATATATAAAACAGGGTAGCGTGTTCCGATAGTGGGTGGTGACTGAAGCCGAGATGCTAGACCAGGACCGATAATATTACACATTCAATTTGAAAGAATATATGAACAATCTCGAGCGTACATTAATGTACTCTTATCTCTATCTATCTATCTCTCGCTCTCTCTCTCTCTCTCTATCTATCTATCTATCTATCTATCTATCTATCTATCTATCTATATATATATATATATATATATATATATATATATATATATATATAAGTATATATATATTTATATATATTTATTTATATATATATATATATAAGTATAGAAATTAATAAGGCAGAATATAACGATTGAAATTGTATTTACATTTTTGAAGATCAAAGCTGACTGGAAAGCAAAAGACTGGAAGAGAGTTTCACAAGTGAGAAGTATGATAGAAGAAACTGTTAACATAGAACTTACGGTTGCATCTAGACATTTCAACTGTAAAATGGTGAAACCTTGCCGCCAATCTAGAAGTACGCTTAAATTCATAACACCTAAGTTCCAAAGCGGAAAGTTCATCAGATCATTTACCATGAAATTTCTGAGTAAAAAAATACAGACATATTTTAGAATGAGATTATCCAAGTAACTACATGTCTCGGGCAAACGAAATTAAACTAGCATCATGTTGAATAATATTTATTTATCAAAATTCGAACAAGATATTCAAAGGGATGTAGATTTTATAATTGATTTCACAAAGCTTCACAAATGTTCAATATGCGCACCGCCTGTAACACGTCAAGTCGGTAGTCTAGCTCCTGTCAAACACGCTGTAGCATGTCTTGCGTAACATTCTCCAGCGCTTCAATGATTCTCTACTTAATTTCCTTTAGACTTCAAGGTGTGAAATCAGGTGTACGTAATGGACAACACATTGTCATTATGACTTGTACACCCGACCCATCTTCTTGGTACATTCTCAATGAGTCCGCAGAGTCAGCTAAGGTTTTTACACATTTTGTTAAAATTTGAGATTATTTAAGCGAGAATTTGCTATAAGACTACAAAATGATGTCAATTTTGGAGGACAGCCTATATTTATAGAAAAGACACAGGGAAGCTACGTTACGGCAATGGAAAGTGACTGAAGTGGAGATGCCAGGTCATGACCAATAGTATTGCAGATTATTCTTTGTATTTTGTCAATAATCTTTAGAGGCACAGCAGACGCACCAGACCACACACACACACACACACACACACACACACACACACACACACACACACACACACACATATATATATATAATTAATTAAATAATTCGAAAAGAGACAACCTCAAGGTTCCATGACTATAATTTATTTATATATTTATATATAATTTATTATCATATATATAATTATTTTTTATTATTTTGAATTATATATATATAATTATTATTTATATATAATTTATTATATATATATATATATATATATATATATAAAAGTCAACACTTAGAGGCGACAGTCTGTTTCATGCTATATGCAATCGTCAGGCCACATATGCTGTTATTTTTCTCGGCTATTTATATATATACGGGTTAGTGGTGCATTGTGGGTATTCTATTATGGCGGTTATTTTTACCGGAAGTCGCTTTGTTTATTTATTTGGGTCAAATTATATTGCTCGTTTTTTTTTTTGGTTTCTTATTTTATTTATTTATTTATTAACGTAGTAAAAATTTGTTTATATCACGTATTTAACATTTTACACACGCTCTATCTCTGATATTGAGCACTTTATCCCATAAATATAGCACACCTTAAGACTATATATATATATATATATATATATATATATATATATATATATATATATACTATGGTCTTACTACAAGTAATATATAATATATAATTTGGAGGAACTATGGATCCATCAGTTCCCACGGGTTAAAAAAGACTGTACAAACTATATGCATTCTATATAAGCTCAGTACTAGATTGGAAGCTAGGTCTCGTTATTCTAGAGTTCAGTTTACTCTTCTATGCTAACAGTTCCTTCCTTCGCACTTCCCGCTCGTGGAATTCTCGGCTTTTTGCTTTAACCTCGTTTTGGAATTGATTGAAAAGCAAGAAATTAATTTTAGTGAATAGTAAGGGTGTGTTGTAGTGTAATAGATATCGGTCCGGAATGAGAAATCGGAGAGAGCCTAGTTCAAATTCCAGTCGAGTTCATTGCGTTCAATTACACGCACATACCCAGGATGGGTTATATATCCTTGGTTGGCAGCCAGCTTATCACAGATAGTATTGGTAACCTACTGCGCGAAAATCATCTGATTCGTCAGTCATGGATCGAAAGAAAACATGATCAGCCAGCCATATATCACGTATGGCACCTAAATGACTTTAAATGAGAAAAATTCAACAAAATAACAAAAATAAGACACGCGCACAAAAAAAATTAGAATACGTGAATTATTTCATTTCCATGTTAAAATGTGAACGTTTTCATGAGAGATCATAGAATGGAATAGAAGAAGAGAATATATGAATAAGGGAATATAAGCATGAGCGATTGAATGAATATAGTAGAAAAAGAATGAAAGCGAAAAAAGAATAAAGAATGAAAGGAAAGGATGAAATTTACAGATGAAAAAGGGCGTTAGAATATAGGTGCAATAGATTAGAGGGAGAGAGAAATAAAACAGTAAGTGAAACGATGTTTGAATTATAAAATGATTCAGAAACTAACTGAAGACATTAATAGAATAAGCGAATGAAAATGCTTGGATGTATACGAGAATACGGAATAAGAGAATGGAAATACAAAAGTAAAAAAATGATATGATGGCAAGAAAGAAATAAAAAATAGATAATAAAAATTAATAGTAGAATGAATAAAACAAAACTAAAAGAGGAAAGAAAAACGAAGTAGGAAGAAGGGGAGCGTGGGGAAAAAGATATTATTAGAAAATAGGCAAAAATACGATCCCTTGGTATTTATTAAGATTGACTTATTTTATATATGTATTTTTTTTTTTACATAGAGCCACAATCGTGATCCACACAGTGAGGATCGAAGTTACTACACAGTAGTTTTTAAGATTGGAATCACTTATGGGATGTTATAGAATTAGAAAAAAAGAGGAGAATTAATTTAAGGAATTATATTTATTCAGTAAAAAAGTCACTTCTTTCTTTCTTTCTTTTCATTTCTTTTCTTGCATTTACCTTTCTCTTCTCTAGGATCTTTTATTACTTTCTTGTCTTTTGATATTTTTTTGTTTGCTTTTTGATATCCCCTTCCTTCCTTCCTTTTTTCCTTCCTTTTTTCCTTCCTTCCTTCCTTCCTTCCTTCCTTCCTTCCTTCCTTCCTTCCTTCCTTTAATTCTTTCTTCCTTTCTGCATTGTCTCCTTTATTTCTTTATCTTTTCTTTACATTTATCCTGCCTTCTTTTTCTCCTTTTTATTTCTTCCCTCATGCATTGTTTTCTTTCTTCCTGCATAATGTCGTAACATTTATTCTTCCTCTCCTCATCATTTAATTTCTTCTGTCATTTCTCCAATCATTCCTCTTCTGATTCATTTTTGTCTTCATTCTCTCCTTATGTTTTCTTTCCCAATTCCTTTTTTCTCTCATTCTATCGTTCCCTTTCTTCTTTCCATTTTTCTTGTATCTCTCCATTGTTTCTTTCTTTCCTTCTTTTCACTTTTCTCTCTCTCTTTTCTCGCTTTCCTATATTCAATCAATTTTCCTCTATTCTTTCTTGTCTTTCTTCTTTTTTCTTCTCTCATTCATTTCTTTCTTCCTTCCATCCTTCTCTTTATTTTCATTTTTTTCTTCCCTAATTCCTTTCTTCCTTCTCTCGTTCTATTCTTCCTTCCATACACTACCCCCCCTCTCTCTCTCCTCAGTATTTTCTTTCTTTTTTCAATTTTCTTTTTCTATTCACATCTTCGGGTTCACATTTGCTTCCTTTAACTTTTTCTTCCTTAAATTGTTCAATTTATTTGATTCTTTTCTTTTCTTCCTCATTTTTCTCTCTTTCCTCACACCTTCTTTTCTGGTTTTTGAACATTTTCCTTTTTTTTTTTCATATTAAATAAATATTGGCTCTTGGCTACCGCGTGCACACACACACACACACACACACACACACACACACACACACACAAAAGAGCCCCCCCCACAAAAAAAACAACAAAAAACAAAGGTACAGAGCTGAACGTTACAGTAGATTAAGCCTCAGCCAAGTGCTTAATGACCCGGCCCTTCGAACCGGAACCGGAAACAAAATCCGAGCATCGATTTCCGGTAGAGTGACCAAGCGAACTGGTGTCGCTTGTGTACCTGAAAAAAATGGCGGAGAGGAACGAAGCTAAGAAACGTCATGTGTTTCGACAAAGCTAGCAACAAATAAATAAATAAATAAATAAATAAAAGATACCGTTTTATTTGCGGGTGCAGCTCGATGTTTAGAGTGTAGGGTTATCGATAGAAAATATTGGGATTCAACTTTCAATTGGTTTGGTGACACTCTCGAGGAATGTTTATCTGGCTATATTTTATATTAATAGCTATCTATAGACTGCAGTTTCATAGTTTTCAGTAATGTCTTTGGTGTGGCTTTTAATGGATTGGGTCACACTCTTTAAAAAATTATTGAGCGTTACCTACTGAAACACTAATTGTTTATAAAACTGCAGCTGTAGCCAGAGCTATGGGCTAACAATGGAGATATTTGATGTACAATTTCAAATATTGGTACCAGGTCGGTGACACTCGTTACAGTTATCCTCATTTAAACAAGAACCTATTTCCCAGGCATAATCCGAAATACGATAGTGTGTCATACACTTTTCTAAACATTTAATAACATCCAGTGACGCAGTCCTCTTTGGGGATTAGCATTTATATGGGGTATCGAACTCAGACGAGCGATTTTCGCTCGCTCACTCACTCAAGCCTCTCCATGGCGAGTGGCACTTCAGGCGATGACAAGATTTGTCAGCCGTTATGTTGGGAAATGTTTGCAGTAAAGCTTGAGTTCTCATTCCACTACTATATACCCAAATCTCCTTAGGTCTTATGCAGGTTCCTTTGCTTCGTGGTGTCCAGCGGAGGACATTTTTGGGCAGCAAAGCTTGAGGCCATATTGAAAACGTGTCGGAGATATCTTCATCGACGTCTCTGGGTCGTAGCCGCGGTGGGTTCTACACCGGTTCTGCATCTAAGTTTTTCATTTGCGATTGTTTTTGTCCAGAAAACTTTCAGTATCCTTCTGAGGAACTTAGTCTGAAACTTCCAGTTTTCTTCTTCTTTTTTTTAATCAGTCTCACCCCAAGCAAGTTAGCACAGTCACTAGCATGCAAATGGTTACAGGCTGTAGGGGAATTAGGAACACAAACAATAGTAACGAGGAGAAAAAAAAGAGTAATCAGAACAGTAGCTAGCGATTGACATTGCATTTAAATTTTTGCAGATTAAAGTTGGCTGGAAAGAACTGAGCCTGAAGAAAGTTCCATAAACAAGAAGTGCGGGATAAGAAACTATTAACATAGAAATTCTGGCTACAATTCTGGCTAGCTCAACTCTACATTGATGAGAGCTCACTGCCAATCAAATATTGCGCTTAAATTCATAGTCTCGATAGCATGGTGAAAAGCTCATTCGAAAAAATTAACCATGTAAGTATTTATTAAAGGCACAGAGAAGCAACCTTATGGCGGTGGGCAAGTGACTGAAGCTGAGGTGCCAGATCAGGACCAATAATATTGCTGATTCTTCTTAGGGAGAACTAGATGAATAGCAGGACACATGGGACAGTAGATAAAGGCGTTAGTTAGATCCAGGACGCAAAGAGTTGTGAGTTCAATACCTGGTTAAGGTGGTGGAGAACTTGGAGAGGAGAATTAACAGGAGATAACTGATAACTGACATCCACGGCACGTGGAACTAGAACAGTCTACCCCAGTGAGCAAAATAAAGGGTTCAGTTCGACATTCCAACCACCTGAAGAAGGCCGGAGCCTACAAGGAGCCCAAGGTAAATAGCAGGGGCACCGGACCATATATGGCAGCAATATTCTCAGCATGGATGAATGGTAGACATAGATATGTAAGATAGATTCTGGAGAGAAAAATTGTCTCGCCCGACACAGTGAACTGATTTTCTTAGCAACTGACCTAGCAATGGATTCGGTGTAGTCTTTTCACCTCATGTCAGCTGAGGACATTATCCAAAGATAGCACATTGAGTCACTTTCTTGGAGGATAGCATCAGCCATGCTGATAGAAGACAGAGAGCGGTCTCTCAGATGATTAATGGAGACCAGTTTAGTTTTGGAGGTTTTAAAATTAACAAGCCCTCTTTTGCCTCAGTTAACGATGGTTTTTAGGTCTTTTTGTATATCGACTGCCATTTTGACCTTGTCTGACTGATCAGCCTTACTATTGAGGCAGGAGTAAATGGTAGTGCCGTTAGTTTAGATGCCAAGTTGAGAGATGATGTCATTAGGAAGGTTGTTAATGAAAATTAAAAATAGCCTAGGACCAAGGATTGAGTCCTGGGTCACACGTGTTAGTACGAAAGGATGTGGCCGTTCGGGATAATTTTCATTTGTCGATTTGACAAGAACGACTGGAACAGCTCAAAAACGTGACCGGAGGTACTGTAGCTTTTCAGATTGTGAAGACCTGAATGCCAGACTCTGTCAAAGGCAGATGTCCAATGCTACAGCCCGGGCTTTTAAAAATCATTTCACCCCATGCAAGGGGATAGTGACACTAAAACGCAAGGAGTTACTGAGGACGAAAGAACACGAGAAAGGAGTTAGTAAGAATGAAGAATAGTAAGTGGGTTTAAGAACAGAAAATGGCGCTTGATGTTGGTCTTAAATGTTTGAAGATCGTAGGTGACAGGAAAGTAAAAACCCGGAAGATAATTCTCCATGCGTGAATTGTTTTTCACAGTAAGGGTCAACCTGTACAATGCCCGGGGCCACTCTATGTAGGGGGTTACGTTAAAAGGCTAGTTCATATGAATATGAGGAGTAGATAACGGTGAACTTAGACTGGAACAGGTTAAGATTGTACTGATCAGGGAAGCATCCTCTTGGGAGTCTATTCCACAGAGCATTGGTTCGCAGTAAGAAGTTGTTCGAGTGGAACTTACTTCTCGCCGAAGGGAATGTGGGTGGTTTTCTATAATGTAACTGGCATAGCTGTTCTTAGCCTTGAAGGTTATATCTGGCAAAATCAAAGAATGCACTTCGTCCGAACACTTGCCACATCCCGCCCGTGAGAGAACGGTTGGAAAGTGGAAAATAATTCTTCTCCAGCAAAGACTCGGAGACGCATTTGAACTCTATCAAGACTGGAAAGTGAGGACTGGGCAGTTCCCGTCCAAAGATGACAACAGTACTCCATTTTCGGACTGATCTTGCTCTTGTAAAGCTAGATGATGCCATTAGTAGTCAGGTACTTACTGGAATGGTAGAAGTAACCGATCCTTTTGCCTGCATAAGTAAGTGAAAAGAAACTATTAGAGTAGAACTTACGGTTGCATCTAGTTTGTTCAACAATAAAACGACGAGATCAAATGGCTAACCGAGAACTGCGCTTAAATTCATGCGATCGATGGACTAAGGGAAGAAAGCTTATCAGAACAATTGCCATGAAAATGTTTAAAGGCAGAGTGACTCCACGTTACGGGAAAGTGAAAGCATTCTTTGGATTTCTACAACAGCAGTCGTCATCCAAAAGGGCGTTGCTATCGAATATCCTGATCTTGGTATGGTTGGTATAATTGTTTGATATCTGAATGCGAACTCATGATTTGGTATGGTTGATTGATATCTGAATGCGAATTTCTGATAGATGCAACCATCAGTTCTATTCTAATAGTTCCTTTTTCTCACACTTCTCACCTGTGGAATTCCCTTCTGATTACGTAAATGTAACGTTTATTGCTATTTTCTGACTTTCCGAACCCTATTCTTTTATTGTCCTTTTCCTCACTAAAGCTTTCTTATTGCCTTTCATTCTTAATAACAAATGGCGTTTTAGTGACAGTGTCACCTTGTTTGGGGTGAAATGATAAAAATACTAATTCTGCTGTTGCTTTCCTTTTACGGTCGCCATCAATTGATCTTGCTACCATAGTAAAAAAGAAAACACTTTATATATATATATATATATATATATATATATATATATATATATATATATATTTTTAAAACAAGGAATGCATTGATTTTAATTTTAAAAGTCTCTAGGACCCTTTCAGCCAACATCTCATCAGGAGACAATCGTTGGATCAGCGAAAAGAATATTAACGATAATGAAGAGCAAAAAGAGGGGGAAAACACACTAAAATAACAAACAAGTATATATACTTGTAACGAGGGGGGGAAATAATCGTGTAAATAAATTAGCGAGGACAGTTAAAATAAATATCCCCAACAGATTAAGAGACTTTACAAATTCTTTCTGCCGGCAGAGAGAAGTTTCCTTAA